CCATCACAACGCGCAACATGCGGCCCTGCCCCGCGCCCCATCGCGGCCCCTCGGATTCTCCCAGCGCCACCACGGCGCTGCTTTGCCTTTACCTTCGCGGCGTCTCCTGATGCCCGCGCACCCAATAGTTCCATTTCTGCAGGCTTTTAAAACTAAAGGGTATCATTTATCATTTCTTGACTGCTAGCACTGACCGGCCAAATTATCATAAAGATTATAATCAAAAACAGCGATAGAAGAGACCCCTTTTTGGCCAGATTTGACTCCAGCAGACCTCAGGGGCCATTAAGAACCTGAAGGCACTCCATTCCCATACAGCAGCTTGTTAAGAAACACGATCCAGCTGGCTCTGCTGCCTCTCTACAGAATTACTCTGAATTTTCTGCTTACTTTCAAATGCAAGAAGCCTAAAGTGATTAGCGCCGCTCCTGTGAATTATTTAGCTATTCAGTAGGAAGCTAAAGGTTTTACTGTAACTTTTCATCAAACAGACTTGCTCTAAAATATTGATCACAACAGATGTTATACCTTGCTGAATACTGAACTGGGATTTATAAAACCCACCCACTGATTTTTTTGCAACCAATTATGCTGTTGTACTAACAGTATGGGCAGAGTGTTCCCACTTCAGGGAGACTGCAGCAAAGATGCTTCTAGAAGAACAGAAAATAATATTAGAGGACAGGCTAACACCTTCATCATGTGTAATGCTGGAGGCATGGAAGCAGAGGAGACCTGGCACTGCACCAGCTCAGGCATAACATGGGAAAATGTTCCAAAAAGATAAGAAATAAAAGGAACTTTAGCTTCTTTGTACATCTGTAGCAAAAGACAGATGTCTCATTTTCTTGGCAGTGGTCAGATATTGTCACCTTGGAAATTGCACATGTAACAAATCCTACAGTAGGCAAGAGGCAAATGAGAGGAAAGAGAAGAGCACTAGAAATAAGAGGCTGTGGGGTCTAAGAGGGAAGAGTTTATCAATAGCAGGTGTTAATTCCTGCCTCTGCCAGTGAGTCACTATCTGACCACTGGTAAGTAATTTAATCAATGTATGTCTCATTCTTGATCTAGAACAGGAAGAACATTCAAAAGGAGATTGCATTACTCAGCTAATTAGTCAACACAAACCAGAGGCCTGCCCAGCTCTTGCGCAATTAACTGAGGGGCAGTAACGGAGAACACTTCCCAGGTGTTTCTGTTTCCAGCACTGACGCTGCCATGCTCCAAGTTCCCCTGCCAACAATTGCTGAGGCAGGAGAAACACCTTCACGTTATTCTGAGACGCAGAGAACTGGCTGAATGAAAATCAGCTTTAGAAAGAAGCACATCTGCATAGGGACTGCCATTTTGACTGACCCTGTGCTGTTAGGAAAATTGGATCTGGGTCCAGACATCTCACTACGGTTTACGTTCACCCCACCTAAAGTTCTTGGGAGCAGACTTTGTTGCTCATCTCACATTCCCAGTCTGAAAGCAGTAGTTTTCCTTTGTTCCAGTTTGACATAGCACTAGGGGACTTCTTAGGGTTTGGGTTTTTTTAGAGCCTGACAGGCTCTAAAGATGGTAACGTTAAAAAGGCCAAGGAAAATATGGCCCAAGCCACGCTGGACCACACCAGCCCAGCAACAGATTTCTTGCAAGACAATTGCTGAGTCTCAAAGTGGGACTGTTGGCCCTGTGAGGAATATTGGAGCCAAGCAAATGTGCTTTACAGAGAGGAAATGTGGCTAGTCCATCTTACAAGGAGAGGTTTGGGAGCAGAAAAGCTTGTAGGGCCATCCTTGGCAGTGGAGATTGTGTTTTCCAACCTACAGGGAACATCAAGAGGCAACTCACTAAGGCAGGTGGAAATGCAGCTTCACCTGCTTGTTCAAACGCAGCTGCTTTTCTAGCTGGCCATGCAGGGTTCCTGCCCTCTTGCTCATTTTTCTATGCTTAATTAAGCTGCACTAT